CGGCCCATTGGCCCTTAAGGCAAAACCCCCCCAAAAAAAAAAAAAAAAAAAAAAAGGTAAGATGTGTATGCTAATAACCCTGATTTAATCTTTAAATATATTCTCACAAAAAAATATCATATTTTAGCCCCACACATATAAGCGCTTACTATATGTAAAGAAGAAAGAAAAATCTAACGAGTAATGTGTAGGTTATCATAATAGCTGAAGAAATAAATACTATATTGGAATATCATTACACAAAAAAATTACTCAAAAATAAGAAACTTTCAAATACAAACCACTACTAAAAGGAAACGAGCAGTTCTTATATATGGAGTTAGTTTCTTTGCCCCAAGACTATTGAGAAAGAAGTTCAATTCTTTATTGAGGATTTAAGGAGGAATTCAATATCATAGAGAGCTGGCTGACCTTTATTTATGGACACTCACAAGCTGACATAGTTGCATTTGTTAATGTCTTTCTTCTTATCAAGCCAGAGTGTTGACAGAGTTGTGAGTTGTATTTGACAGTCAGCGATGCCAAAATTGAGCTCTCAGAAGGAGTCATCCTAAAAACTTCAGGAAAGCTACCAGATTATGGTAAGAAGCACCAAGAAAAGGTGAGGAAATCGTAAATGTTAGATTAGAGTGCATATCGGTAGTTGGGTTTATACTTCAGGTATAACATGGCTAGAAAAGAAGCTATGCAGAAGTAAAAAGACCGTTGTTTCAAAATTATCTGATATGACTTACACTCTACCCAGCTTTGACACAAAAGACAATACCTGGACATTCACTGTGCCTGTAAACTAGGAGGGAAAAACAAAAGCATAAACAAAAACAAAAACAAAACAAGAGCCTACAAACTTATATAGAACAATAATGTTATTTCCATGATATTTAGACATTATCATATTTGATATTGGCATTTCCCAACAAAAATCAAGAGCCAAAAATTAATCAGGCCAGACCCTCAATTCATCCTGTCTTTTTCTAAGTAATCTGAATATGCCACAACTTTTTCATGGCATTTTTTACTTCGGCATTTCTCAGTGTATAAATGAGTGGATTTAAAAAGGGGGTTCCAATGGTATAAAACACTGCCACCATCTTGTCCATGGGGAACGTGGTTGGGGGACGTGTATATATGAATACACATGGCCCAAAGGATAAGATGACTACTATGATGTGAGAAGTACAAGTGGAGAGAGCTTTTTTCCTCCCTTCTGCACTGTGGTTTCTCAATGAGTACAAGATGACAAAGTATGAAATCAACAAAAATAGAAAACTGCTTAAACAAAGTGCCCCACTGTTAGACACCAGCTGCAGGTTGATCACGTATGTGTCCATGCAGGCAAGTTTCAACAATGGCTGCAAATCACAGCAATAATGATCAATCAAATTGGGTCCACAGAAGGGTAACCTTAAGGCCAGAATAATCTGAGCTATACTGTGTATGAAAGACCCTATCCAAGCAAGAACAATTAAGATGATGCAGACTTGCTTGCTCATGATGGTTGCATAATGCAAAGGCTTGCAGATGGCCACATAGCGATCAACGGCCATGAAAATGAGGACAAAGATCTCCATGCAGCCAAATAAATGCAGTGCGAAGACTTGTGTCATACATTCATTGTAGGATATTATTTTCTTTTTAGAGAGAACATCTGCTATCAATCTAGGTGCTGTTGAAGTTGAAAAACAGGAATCAACAAAGGACAAATAAAATAAGAAGAAATACATGGGGGTGCCAAGTGTCTGGCTGAACTTGATAGTCACCATAATGATCACATTCCCCACCACGGTTCCTACATAGAAAATTAAGAAGATTGAAAAGACCATTTTTTGTTTTATGGGATCCTGTGTCAAACCAAGTAATACAAACTCAGTTACGCTGCTATTTTGATGCATTTTTATTTTTTAGTCATTGTGTAGAAATCTCGGGTTAGAAATGTTTCATCTGCAAAGGAGAAAATAAATAAGGGTTATAAAAAGCAAACCAAATTTGGAGAGAAAATAGTTATTCTCAGTCATGAATCTGATTTTTCACTTGGTTGTCATCTACCATTCTCTTTATTTTTTAAATGAATAAAATGGAATTTTTAGATATTATTTGATACCTTTACCAAATTACACATCAAAATAGTAAAATAAAAATAGGATGTAATTAAAAAGGAAATTATTATTCAAACAAGGTAAACAATGTAAGGGAATTGATGTGAGTAGGTAACATTCTCACTTAAACCTGTTTCATTAGTTTCCAGTGAGAATTTATCAATATTATGGCAGAGACTTTCAAAACCAGAGAATACTTATGCATGACTTTCTTCAATATGCTTTTCCATTACTTGGATTAGGTAGTTTTATTTTTTTGTACAGGCAACAGGCACTCACCAGAGAGAGACAGAGAGACAGACAGAGAGACAGAGAGAGTGAGAGGACAGGAAAGGAAAATTGAGAAATTTCTCCCAGGGGAATGATCACACTTCAATTTTTTTCTCTTCCATCTCCTCATGGGATTTTAACCATGCATGGACAAGCACTAAGCATAATTTTTTTATTATTATTTTAAAAATTTATTTATTTATATTAATTCACTGTATCATTACAGTATACAAAATGAGATTTTTTTCATCCAGAATACACTCTATATTGATTGACTCAATCATGGAGATTACCAAATGTGTCATTGTCAAAAACTAATTAACCATTTCTTGTTTCTTATATATGATGCCTTTTTT